GTGCCTGAAATAGTTTCATATTTTTTAAATGAAATGCTTTTTATAACTATGTTTGGATTCATATGAAAATGTCATAAAAAAAGGGGGGAACTATAGTTCTTGGTTAAATTTTTTCAGCAAAAAATGCAACATTTCAGTAGGTAAACTGCTTAAATAAACAATGTAATGATATTTAGTAATAAAATACTTTTAAACTAACTCTTCTAATATTCAATTGTTACACGCTGCAAATATTTTAAAAGTAAAAAGGTCTGTTAAAAAAAATTTGAAAAAAACACTTTATGTTAAAAAGAATTGGCTCAAAAAGAAAGGAAAAAAAACTTATAAAAAGCTGCAACTTATATTCCGTTGAGAAAATCATTAAAAAATGCAACGTTTATAATCATTAGAATACTTAATAAAAGTTGAAACTTTTATGAAAGCAAATTATGTGCAAAATATCTGCAAAGGTTATATAACCTTTAGAAAACTACAGTTTTTAAGAAGGTTTTCGTTACCTGAACCTAAGCTGCAGCTTTAATAAGGGATTTTTGCCTTATAGTAAACTTGTGCCAATTCATTTAAGCTTTTGTGGAGGTTTTTTTTAAACCGTCTTGCACAAATTTTTGAATGCCTTCCCGGGGGACCAGAACAGAGTTACAAATTGCATAATTTGCAGTTTTTTTTATAAGAAACATGATTGGTACTTTATTTTGCTATGGTCAGTATTTAAATTCTCAAATCAAATTAATCCTCAATCGAATTTTAAGAAACTTTCCAAATGCTTAAATTAAACTTCAGTGACTCGACAGCCCAAAGAGAACTAAGGCCTACTAGGGATTGACTGGCCACCGAGACACTAGGGCGTTTACTGGTGCGTCCTGCAAACTGGTGGCCTTCGGCTTGATTACCTTCTATTGAAAAAAATATAATATTGATTTTGTTTTGAATCTTACCTTTTTTTAGAAAAAAATATAAATACTAAAGTATTTTGAGTCGTGGTGGCTCAGCGGAGAGAACACTAGCCATCCAATGAGGTAACCCAAGTTCAAATCTCAGTGGTAGTTAGTCGAAACGAATTCTGCAATGGAAATTTAAATTCCATGGAAAATATAAAAATGTAAGACTATGCTATTGTTAGTATGGTAACTCTAATTAAAACAGTTTATATCAGATATAGATCATAAATAGCTATGATCCTAGCAATAAATAAAAGGGAAATTCATTTCTTCACTACCTACTAAGACCATACCAAGTCGATATTTAATATAGTATAATCACCCAAAAAACAATATTAGCGTACACATTTAAATGCGGCGTAGTCTTACTTGTGATAATATAAACAATTGTTTTCTAATTAACCAGTTGTATGTAACAATATGAATGCAATGGCTAAATTTCAAATCAGTAACGTAAAAATTAAAATAATTCATAAATTAAATGTAGGACTATAAGAAATTATAAGTTGGACAGAAACCAGGGATTTTTTTACACTCCTCACACCTAAATCAAATTTTTTATGAAAACAATTATTGTCAATAAAAATATTTTTTTTACTAAGAAAGTTTTTCCAATTAAGTCCTTAATTAAACGTTTTTTAAATTAGTTTTTGAAAAAACATATTATTTAAATTAAGAATTAAATGCAAATTTAAGTTGAATCAAACTTCATTTCAAAATTTGAACATCTCTTCATTGCAAATACTTAATGATTTCTCCCCCCCCCACCGGGGTCTCAACAATAACCAAAATTTTTTGTAAGTTACTTAATAACATATTTTATTTTATATTTTATATCGATGAACTATGATGATTATATCGATATAATTATGAACAGTCGACCCATTTTTTGGGTTTACGACTACTAATGTTCAACTCCGTAGCCTTGTAATTTTGAACCAATCCAGAAGACAAGGAAACTCCCGGATTTGTACCCCCCAGAGGTATTGATTTGTTATGTGAACATGGAGGACTTTGCGACTTGGCAGATTTAACGTGCATCAGTCACCATATACCACACTGGGAATCTTCGACCTTTGGGGATCAAACCCACGAACTCTTGGACATGGGTTCAATGCCCTACCAACCTGGCTATCTCGGCCCTAATAACATATTTTATTTTATAACCGTCGTTGAACAGCCGACCCAAGTTCATGGGTTTACGACTACTTACGTTCAACTCCGTAGCCTTGTAATTTTGAACCAATCCAGAAGACAAGGAAACTCCTGGATCAGTACCCCCAGAGGTATTGATTTGTTGTGGGAACATGGAGGACTTTGAGACTCGACAGATTTAACGTGCATCAGTCACCATTTACTACACGGGGAGTCTTCGGCCGGCGAGGATCGAACCCACGACCTCTTGGATATGGGCCCAGCGCCCTACCGACCAGGCTATCCCGGCCTAATAACATATTTATAATGAATGCAATATCAAATCTCTTGAAGTGTCAAATACTTTCTACGAGTTTCTCAGTGTAAAAAAAATATATTAAAGTTTCCGCCAACGACTTCCTCAAACGCAGCTATTAAATTAATTAGAAAACAGAAGAGACTAATTCCTAAGCATACGAGGGTATTTCCAAAAGTAAGGTCTCCTATGTTTAAATATATAAAATAAACATTCATTTTCAATTTCGGATACATCAGTTGAATCAGTACTCATGTCTCTACATAATCACCATTTCCTTCGATGCATTTTTGTAGGCGCAGTTGCAATTTTTATATGCCTGTATTTTACCAGCTCTTCTCTATGCTATTCAGGAAACTTCGAACCTTAGCTTTCACCTCGTTCTCGTCGTTCTTGAAGCGCTTTCCAGACAAATACTTTTTGTTTCAATTTTGGTAAGAGATGGTAGTCACTGGTTGCCAAGTCCGGACTATAGAGTGGATGGGTAATGATACTCCATCCAAACTGCTGCAGTTGAGATACTGTTTATCGGGCAGCATGGATTAGAGCGTCATCATGGAGAATGCTTACACCCTTGCTCAACTACCCTCTTCTCCGGTTCTGAATCACTCACTTAATTTTTCTCAGTTTTTCACAATATCTCTTTATTGTGGTTCCAGTTTCCATATAAATAACCAACAATACCCCCTTTCGATCCCAAAACGCAGCTGCAATGACTTAACCGGCAGACTGTGTTTGCTTGAGCTTTCGAAGCTTGAAGAAGAGTGCCGTCACTGACGACTTGATTATTGTTTTGTTTCAGGTGTGAAGTACTACGCCCAGGTTTCGTCACCCCCGTGACAATTGAATTCAATAAGTTGTTCTCTTCGTCAGCATGGCGGCGAAGAAATTCACTGTCAGAGTCAACTCTTTACCGTTTTGGTCTTCCATTAGCATTCACACATTTTCCGATCTTTCAATTTTCCCGATAAATAGTGATGCAGGACACTTCGAGAACCGAGATGCAATCCTTATTCAGCCTATCCTGAAGCATGACTCTCTTAATCTTAGCTGCTGTCTCGTCGGAAATTGACGGTCTCATAGTTCTTTTTTTCATCACGCATCAAACTCTCTTCTCTACTTACGGACATTCTTTATGTTCATTCACGACTCGCCATACTCTTCCACCAATTGACGATGAATTTCAATTGCTTTAGTCACTTTTGAGTTTAAAAACTGAATAGCTGCGTGAATATCACGCTTTGTGGATCGCAGTAATCGGGAGCTCCATTACTGACGGCAACCCAGCAAGACTAATCGTCCTAGCTACGACGTGCGAGCATGCTTGATGGTAATGAGGGAAGCAACGAATGCAGCAGGGGTGCCAACAGCCGCACGAAAAATTGCCCAGTTATGTGGAGATCAATCTTTTACAAGCAGCCTAATACATTAAATGTAGGAAACGCAGAATTTTTTTAACCTGATTTTTTTTTAATTTTATTTTTTATTATATTTGCATCATCATCGAATTTAGAAACACCTGTGTTTATTAAAGTTGGAACTTTGAGGAAGTTATCTCATGACCTATATCTTCTTTCAAAACTAGCCTATAAATTTGAAACTTTCCAATCAAAGTTTACATTTTTTTTCTTCTTTTTTTTGCTGCTATTAGAAATAATCAAAACAACTTTTAATGAGGAATTAATATTATATTTTGTGATTGCTTGTAATCATGATTACAATGAGCTTATTACTATATGTTATTAATATCTACAATTATTTACATTTAAAATCGATGTGCAATTTTTAATTAAAATGGCATAACTCTTGCTCATTTTGCTTTCTTGTTTCTTAAAAAAAATATTCCCGAAAATTAGTCATATTTCCTGAATTTATTCATCAATCATTATTCAAAAAGTTGCATAATGAATGATGACTAAATTGGCATATGAATAATCATTCTGAAGAAATTCAGTCATGACTAAAATTTCTGTTTGATGTCGATCACTGCAATTGGCGATCACAACACTCGAATACGCCATCTGGGGAAGAGACCAGTTTCATGCCTTTAGCCAGTGTACCCCATCCCCCCAAGCTCTTGGAAGCATTCTCCCCCCCTCCAAAAAAAATTGCTAACTTCCCCCTTCCATGTTAGCTTGTTCGAAATAGTGCTACTTTGCTTGCATTGCCAATTGCTTCTTTTATTAATGTACTTAAAAAAAGAAAAATTCTCTCGTCTAAACTCCTCTCCCCCCCCAAACTATACGTTTTATTTAGTGTAAAAATTCCCCCCAAAGCTTTAAATGGGCGCATCGTGCGCCCACCTTTCCCCCTGATGGGGGTCCCTGCCTTTAGCCCTTCCCCCTTCCCTCTCCTCCTCTTTTCAGTTGTATAGGAATGTGCAACGATATTTTCCCTTTTCTTAATATTCTTCCTTTTCATTCAATAAAAATATTTTTCAAAATTTCCGTGATACTTTTTTTCAGAAGTATGCTTAATGCAATTTTCGGTTCCATATAGTTTTTCGACTTAAAAGATTTTAATCTATATGAAAATCAAGAGAGAAACTAAAATACTTCCTTCCTCAAGACTTTCCACACGCTAATGGAGAAAGCATGTGACGTGTTGCCATAGGTAGAGAGTTTTGCTCGCCACCTTCAGCCCATTTCGATCGCCAATCAGGCTCTTCCATTTTTCTCTGCGTCGATTAGTAGAGCGTAAACCACGCGTCAGTGAGAATAACAACAACTGTTCTGGGCCACAGAAGTCTCCTATCTCTTCAACAAAAATTAGTGGAAAAATATATAAATGGCAACAACATTGCTCTTTTCTGCTATGCATTTTGTCTTCATGTTCACTTTCGAAATTTGATAGTGTAAATTTTAGAAAAATACTAAGTTTAGAAATTGTGAATATTTTATTTGCTTAGTCTCATATCCGTCTATCGATTTCTGGTTAATAACATGATGCAAGAATTAGAAATATAGATGTGACATTTAAAAACTTTCTAAAATAGTTACATTTAAAATAACTAGATGTTGCATACATGGCACTCTAAATTTCTTCTATGTAATATTTTCGGTTCTGTGCGTTGAAATTATGAAGAGACGTAGAGAGGTCCCGCAATCTGGTTCTCCAAATCATCAACCCGCCACATTTCAATCTTATCTTCAACATTTAAACGTATGTTGTTTTCCTTGTACGGAAGAGTACAATCCCAAAATGAAGCGATTCGACAGCTTTTGCACAGTTCGTTTGATTCTTATGTGCATAAGAACTTTAGGATTAGTCAGCTTATATTATTGTTTTTCAATTGGTATCACTTTTTATCAGAAATGGTTTATAAAAGTGAGTATAATCGCTATTAAACTTACTCACATTTCAACAAAGTTAATTCATATTTATAAAATTAGTTGTCTCTGATTTTATGTCGGATTTCATCCCATATAAATTCAGTTCTAAATTTTTTTCATTATACTTATTTTTAATCTTAGTTTAATTATTTATTCAATTACTTCCATAAAAAGTTAAATGCATGGTTAGTTTCTGCCTTTTCACTTAACCACCTTTAACAAAGGTTTATTGTAACAGGTCTATATGTGTATATTTGAATTTTAAGAGGATACCAAACTTAGCTCTATTTTTTTAGAGAAAAGCTTTTTTTGTACTCATGACTATTAATATTTGCTTTAAATTTGTTAACTTCAATGGTTTGGTTTGTAAATTATTTGATTTTGGGAAAAGAGAATGTTTAATGTACCTACCTCACCAAATTAATTCATGGTCTTCATTGCATTCTTGTTTTTCTATCACATTTTAATCTTTTTTATTTATCTATTATTGTTTATTACTATTTATTGATGTTATTGCCCATCTGTTTTTTATTTGTCCTTGTAGATACTTGTTTACTTCTATAGTGTGCTATGTTTTGATACATACAATCAGTGAGATTGCACAAATATGATTTTATTAGAAAATAATGTAAACAAGCTGTAGTTTTTATTCTTTTTCAATTCTAATCTATAGTGTTCCAATTGTATGTATACAATAAAAAACTATATACTATATGTGTGTGTGTATGTGCATGCACACAACGAAATATAACACACACATAGTAAACAAATTTACCTCTTTTTAATAAGCTATCTATAATGATCAATTTATAAATGTGTGTACACATTAAAAAATATATAAATGTGTATGTAACAATGAGAACAAATAAACATATGTAAACTTTTTATTTATTTTTTGCTAGTTATTTGTAGCGACTTGTATTTAGATGAAATTGTATACATCAGAAAAGTACACGGGAAATATATTTCTAGAATGAATGATTACATAATAAACAGGCTACAATTTTTACATATTTTTTGTCTGGTCACATATAATTTGTTTGTCATGAGAGATCCCCCTGCTACAAGATCTGAGGACTTCTGGTGCTATGGAAACAAGAATAGCCCATTTGATGGAGGGTAGCTTCTCTGAACTCTAAGACTAACACAATTGACTGAAGAAAAAGATTCCCTATCGGAAGAAGAGCAAAAACCTGTCTTAAACAATGCCCTAAACAGCCCTGCACCTCTACTTGAAATAGTTATACCTTCTTACCATAGTTACCGCTACAGGTTCAGACGAATGGCTAGGGGAGTACTTACTTTAGACAAACTATATAGTAATCTGTATACATGTTCACAACAAAGAAACAGGAAAAGTATGCATTCCTATTACAATAATGCAATGTAAACAAACTACAATTTTTTGCACTTTTTCCAAAATGTTGAACAAATAAGTATTGTGCTGAACAAGGTTTTGTAATTAAATAAAATCTCGAGTAAAGATCTCAGCATCATATGTAGGTTGTTTTGAATATTCCTTAGTATAGGAATGTGTTTCTGTCTTCAACAATAAATTTTCAGAATATTCACTTTAAGCTCTAGGTTTAATGCAACTTCCAAACTTGGAATTTTCTAAACACTTTCAAAATTTACTCCAAAACTAATGTTATTCCTATTACTATGACAATGCTAAAACAGTGTTAGATGTTGCAATAGGTTAGTATCATGTCATGTATGCACACATTAAAAATGCATATTATACTGCATTGAAATGCAGATATGCATATTATACATGAATGTACGAATACTGTTCATGAAAAATTTGTCATTCACAGGAAAAATTTATAGTATACCTTAANTGCTGCTATGGAAACAAGAATAGCGCATTTGAGGGAGGGTAGCTTCTCTGAACTCTAGGACTAACACAATTGACTGAAGAAAAAGATTCCCTATCGGAAGAAGAGCAAAAACCTGTCTTAAACAATGTCCTAAACAGCCCTGCACCACTACTTGAAATACTTATACCTTCTTATCATAGTTACCGCCACAGGTCCAGACGAATGACTAGGGGAGTACTTTCTTTAAACAAACTATATAGTAATCTGTATACATGTTCACAACAAAGATGCAGGAAAAGTATGCATTCCTTTTACAATAATGCAATGTAAACAAACTACAATTTTTTGCACTTTATCCAAAATGTTGAACAAATAAGTATTGTGCTGAACAAGGTTTTGTAATTAAATAAGAACTCGAGTAAAGATCTCAGCATCATATGTAGGTTGTTTTGAATACACCTTAGTATAGGAATGTGTTTCTGCCTTCAGCAATAAATTTTCAGAATACTCACTTTAAGCTCTAGGTTTAATGCAACTTCCAAACTTAGAATTTTCTAAACACTTTCAAAATTTACTCCAAAACTAATGTTATTCCTATTACTAAACTATGTATAACTTAATGCTAAAACAGTGTTAGATGTTGCAATAGGTTAGTATCATGTCATGTATGCACACATTAAAAATGCATATTATACTGCATTGAAATGCAGATATGCATATTATACATGAATGTACGAATACTGTTCATGAAAAATTTGTCATTCACAGGAAAAATTTATGGTATACCTTAATATATATTTTTTAAAAAAGCAGTTAAAATTATATTTGCCATTCTGGCATCAAAAAGTGAATGGACAGAAGTGAGTTTTATAAAAATATTTAGTAAATCTTCGCATTAGTAACTAAGTAACATTTTAAAAATACAAAAAAAAGAAAGTATAAGGGGAGAGGAAGGTAAGTCAATAACTAGTTTTATACTGTCAAAAAAATACTAAATTTAATGATATCTATGATGCTACGTAATCAATATTGAGTTTTAAAAATCTTTAAAAAAAAAAATTGAGCAAATTTTGTCAAAATTAGGAAGAACAAAGGTTGACGTTAAAATTAGTTACAAGAGTTAAAAAATTGCTGGCAGAAAAATTTTTACTTGAGATTTTGTGCTTGCAGAAATTTTTTCTTTTTATCTAAGTCTGTATATTGGTTGTTTCCCTCTTTAATTACTTTGTATCTTTTGTATACTATGCATTTTTGTTTTGTTATGTTTGTCAGTTATCAGTGTTGTCAAATCTGAAAAGTCCTAAGATTTATTAACTTTTTCTTTTTTAAGGACTTCCATTTTCCTCTTACTGTTGTGATTTGCCATTTGGTTGTGAAGTTTATTCTTTCTGGCATGTTAAGATGTTTATATCACATTATTACAGGCAGACAAAGAGTGGTTTTAGACTGGCCAACATATATTAAGCAACTAGCGCCAACTGGTAAAGTTTTTTATACATTCAATTACTTCATTCTAGAGTTATGAATAATTAAAAATGCATATTAAATTACAAATCCGTTTCACATTATGCACATTAAAAATAATATTAAATTAAAATTGCATATCAATTGTATACTTGATGCCAATTTAAATTTGTTGATACTATTGTAAAGTGTCTATGAAAGTTCAAAAGAGTCTATGAAATATTCTATTATTTTGTGTTAGCAAATGAAATTATGCATGAATATATATTTAAGAATTGTTTCTTGTTTACAGGTAATGTATAGTTTATTTATTCACTGAAAACTTGATTTTGACAATGACTTAGTATTTTTTTCCAGCTCAAAGCATTTAAAAAAGAAATTTGAGGTTAAAAATCTGACATTATTTATTAATTTCATTCAAATAAATATATCAGCCATTTGATTCGCAAAGAACCTTAACTTGTTGATATTTATTTTTAACAAGTTAATAAACATTAATCATTCATTTATCAATAGTAGTCTTTTAAAATATCAGTTACTGAAACCATACAGAAATGCACATTCTGCATATTATAATGATGAGCAGCAGATTGTTTCATTAATATGATCTGCAGATTATATAATGCTTTAATTTCAATGGGAAAGTTAATTTTTAAAAGACATATCATTTTTAAAATTTATTTGCTGAATCAAAAGTTAAACATGATTAATTTATTTTATAGGTGTAGCTAGTGCTCTAGATATTGGCCTTTCTAACTGGAGCTTTGAGTTTATAACTGTGTCTTTGTAAGTATTGTTGTAAATATAATAGAATATTGTACATATTATAGAATGTTTAAATCGAGTTTTTAATATATAAAATATATTATATATAAATAGAATTTTTAATACATAAAATGCACTATATATAAAATAATTTTTTTAAACTAATAATATTGAATTTAGATTTTTATTAATTTTTTTCCTTCTATTTCTTTTTATGTACAAAAAATAAAACTTTTTAATATAAGTTTATATTATTGAAAAATTATTTTTGCTTCTTATTTTTTAGCAATTATATTTATAATAACAATTTTAAAAAATATTTTAATTAATTTTGAAGTAAAATCTATCTTATTTCAAAGATTATTTTTTGCTATGTTTAAGTCAACCTTTTATTTTCTTTATTTCAAAATGGATGGTTTCTTGTATTTTCCATGTACAATAGAGCGCTGGTTATCCGAACCCTTATTATCCGAACGTCCAATTATCCGAACTATGTCTGAAATTTTTTTTTTTTTAAAAGTTTAGAATACTTTTCAACTTATCAACAATTTTTCTAAATTTCTGAACCAGTAGACCTTCTGACTAAAAAGATGCCAGGTTATGCAGCAGAATAAAAAGAAGACGGGTGTCGAGACACTGACAACGTCCGAGGATTTTAAATGATGATGAAATTGTTGCTGAAATTTTGAAAGAAAATCGGAATTTCACAGACGAAGAAGTAGGTGTTCTAGATAGTGGACCTTCTAATATAGAAGCATGCAATTCATTAGATATTGCAATGAATTGGCTAGAACGTCAAAATGATGTTGATCCAGTTCAGTTGATTTATTTAAAAATAATAAGGGATACGGCAGCTCAAAAAAAAAAAATCTTCTTTGAAACAAAAGTCTTTGCTGAATTTCTTTTGCAATGGATAATAAAGAAAAATGTGGCAAAATCAGTAATTGACACACACAAAATTATAAAAGCTGAAATATGATTTAAAAAAATTCAAAATGAAAAAAAAAAGTTTAAAAAAATGAATACAAAATATTTAAAAATTGAAAAAAAAAGCCAACTTTTAAACAGAGCTATTTTAGATAGTACTGCCAGTCCTAAACCTGGAAAAAGTGTGAAAGGAAGTTGGTGCATAAATAATAATCATTTAAACTAGATTTTAAAGAACTTTCCAATTATCCGAACTTTTCATTATCAGAACCACGTTCGGTCCCGAGCAGTTCGGATAATCGGCGCTCTACTGTATATATTGGTACCTGAATTCTGACTTCAAATGAAATTTTTATTTATGAATTGAATAGAAAAACTCCTGATGTGTATAAAATCTATTGAAGTAAAAATATTTCATAATTGTGTTATTTTTATTATAAGTTATTTTTCACACTGACTACTAGAAATGTTAAACTCCTTTAAACCCTGTTTTTTCTTCTTAAATAGTATTAATACATAGTTATTTTTTTCAGGTATACCATGACAAAATCTACATGTATTATATTTATATTAGGCTTTTCAATTTTATTTGGACTAGAAAAAAAGGTAAAATAAAGTACTTTTTTTTTCCAATTTTTATGAAAAATTTATTAGGTATAATTAATTTGAAGTGTATTTACTTCTGAACTTCCTTTAACAATATTGCAGTGTACCCTTTTTTAGAAAATGAACTAAAAGTGTACTAGATTATGATCCGACATACTTTGTTTGTAATATCTTTGGTTTAATTTAGAGAAAGACAAATCTCTGGTTGCAATGCAATGTAACTGGTTTTAATTATTGGTTTTAATAATATATGAGTCACTCAGAAGCCAATACGGTCCAAAACACAAAAATTGAGAAAATTAATGTTTTTTGATACATTAGTTTTTAAAATTCTTGGTTTATTAATTTAATTAGAAAAGTGTATAAAGTCTTTTTTCGAGGTGTAAACTCTGCAAAAAAACGAGATATGTACAGGATNATTTTGATACTCTGAAATTTTTTTGTGGTGTTCACTGTCTTCAGCTATACATCAATAGACTGAATATATTTTTGTGTATTTCAAAATCATTCGAAAGAATATAAGGAAAATTGTTTTCAGAAAAATCAATGAAAAGTATAATTTATTATTTTTTTATGCATTTTAAAATAGCTGATATCTGTAAAAATTTTAAAAAATTATAATATCTTGGGTTAGCTCTAAAGAAATTACCATTTCATTTTTATACCTTAATTATTCTAAACTTTATTTTATTCCAAAGTATTTACACAAAAATTTTTTTGCATTGAATGCTTTTTAAATTATTGCTCAATCAATTGTTACATATATATGCCTTAGTATATATGCATATATAAATTTTGTTTCATTTTAAAAATGCTTGATGAAATTTTTCGTGTTGATTGGTGCTCTTACTATTGTTCAAACTATGAGCTAATGATTATATTTTTATAGTAAAATAGTAACCTTTTTTTTATTAAACTAATTCATTTCTTAAAACAGTTAATATAAGTATTATTTTAATTGTGTGTGATGTACGTTTGACTTCTGTGAACATTTATCCAAACATTTTTTTTTCCCATGCAGAGGTATTCCCTAATTATAGTCATTGCTCTAATAGCAGCTGGTCTATTTATGTTTACATATCAATCAACTCAATTTAATTTGGATGGTTTTCTGTTGGTACTTACTGCTTCTTTTCTTGCTGGATTGAGGTGGACTTTAGCTCAAATGGTTGTGCAAAAGAAAGAGCTAGGTAATGAGTTCTCATATACTGTTTTTATTTTATTATAACTTATTATTTATTTTTTATTTTAATTCAATTTAGCTTTATTTTTTTAATTTGATCTTTATATAATGTTCTAAATTCGTTTATCTTTTTAATTAACAATAATTACAGTCATTGGCCTACTGTTTTAATCTTATCTGTTTTCTGAAGAGCACAATCTGCAAACTTATATCTTTCAATATTTCATAATAAGTTAGATAATTTTGGTGTTGTCTTACAGTGGACATTCAACTTCTGAAAATTAGTATGAATCTTCTTTTTTTTCATCTATTAGAAAATTTTAATAATTCTTTTATTGTCAGAATGTTATTATTCAAGCATTAAAATAAAATAAGTATTTTATGATATAATTTTGTACTACAATTTCTTTTCGGAAACTAGAATTTAGGTTAACTAAAGTTTTTAAGTTTAGATGCTTTTCTGTTAAATATATTTTGTTGCCATTTGAAAAAACAGTAAAAAATGCGATACAATTGTTTTGTTATTATTATATGCTTAGTAAATTTTTAAATTCCACTACTTTCGCTCACATTTTTGTTATTATTATTTGATACTCTCCTTGTATTGATGTTACTTTTCTGTCTGTGTAAAATTTAAGAATACTTCACAATAGTTAGATTTCTTTTGTGTTTCATGAAATAGTAATTTTTTTACAGCTTCTGATAAGTTTGTTAAAAACTTAACACTTTTAAAATATTTGATTGAATTCGTTATTATTGAATATAATTATGTTTAGACAAAGTATCGTATATTATAAGATCAAAAAAATATCATTAAGCTAATATTCACACATTAGTTTAGTGCTTAAAACTATCTGAAAGATTTGGTAACAAAAATACGTTATTGTATTAATATCAATAATTAACGTTGCACTCTTGTCTGCACATAATGACATTAATAAAACTTACATGTATATGAATCTTCTAATATTTTACTTGACTTGTAAGACCAACTCTTTCTTTTTTAAATTCCTTAACAATATTTTTGTTTCAAAATGTGCTGGAAGATTTTTTTTTTTAATTCAAGATATTATTAAGTGCAAAACATATAAAATTTATTACCAATAAATCTGCAGCCTTATGCTTTGATTCTTGGAAAACCAGAGGGCTTTGTTCAACAACCTCTGTAAATGAAAATAAATCATCTTTTTCCATTGAAAATTAAACTATTTTGCTTCAAGTATTTTACATTTACTTTCTTATTGTATGTTTGAAACTATATAAAAATTTTGTTTCTAATGAGAATGTTGCTTTCAGGGTTAAGTAATCCAGTTGATATGATTTATCATGTACAACCCTGGATGGTTATTGGCCTTTTGCCCTTAGCTATAGTATTTGAAGGTAATTAAGTTTTTTTGAAATATTTAGTATGTGTCATAAGCTATTTGAATTATCCAGCCCTTTAAAAACTGTCATTGTTATTTTGCAATGTTCTTGACTGGTTGTGAAACTCACCAATATTTTCTAATCGGGCAACTTGAGCCCCAGTGATTTCAGGGATAGAATATATGCCTCCCAATGAGATGACCAGGTTCAAATCCTTGTTGTGGCTGGAGATACTTGCTCGTATTAACCACAGTGCTGATGTAAAATATCCTCAGTGGTAAATGGCTCATGGGTTGGAATCCTTTTGCCTTTGGACTAAACATAGGAAGTTTCGTGATTTTCCTCTCCTTGTTACACAAATATGGGTTAGATCCTTCAAAAAAGTTCTCCAAGGAGGCTAGTTTGCCTCATTGCTTGATTCGGGAATTCCCTTGTCTCCTGAATTGAGATCAAAATTACAAGGCCATCGAGTTGAGCATTAATAGTCATAAACTCAGAATTGGGTTGGTTGTTCAACGCCAATTACAAAATGCAAATTAGAATCAGCCAACTTAATGATAAATTAAAATTTCTTTGATAAATATTATTTAATAACATTTTGATGTATTTTTTTATTTATTTCTAATGGCAAGATTAAAAAACACCTACAGCAACAAATACGAAGAACTATATCGAGAAAAAACATAGAGAGGAAAAAGAAGTAAAGAACAAGAGAAATGGCACTCAGGAATGAAGAGTTAATTAAAATGCCTAAAACTGTAGATAAAAACTTAAGATCTTAACCTCAAAAATGTGTTTCCAGGGTGCAAATGCAAAGATATGTATGTTAAAAGATGTTGAGATGCATATTAAAGTTAAATTATTTTGTACTAATAATCGGAACTTGCCAATTGCATACAAGCTTTTAATAGAAAAATAAAAGAAGAAATGTCTAGTTTATTACATTTATTTATTTGATTAGATAATATGCACATTATTTTAATTAAAAAATTTCAATCTAATTTTACTCCTAAACATTGCTTAATTGTTTTGAATAAAGCTATTTGGTTTGCTTACTAGGTATTCCTATTGCAACTACTGAAAAAGTATTTCGCTATAAAGAAGTAAGCATGGTTATGACAACAGTAGGTTATATACTTCTTGGGTCATTTCTTGCGTTTCTTATGGAGCTTAGTGAATATTTACTGCTTTTGTTTACTTCAAGTCTTACTCTGTCCATAGCTGGTGTTTTTAAGGTAAAGTGCTTATTAATTATAATAATAAATGAATTATTAAATATATGTCATTAAATGTGAAATGTAGAATTTTATGTTAGTTTTATTTTTTATACATTTCGTTATAGCTTGAAATAAGGCATATTTTTAAAATTATTCTTTTTACCTAATATAAACGTATTACATATGGGTAACATGATCTAGATTTTAAAATATCGAGATTTTGAATCTTAAATTTTGAATTTCTTTCAGCGTTATTTTTCACTTTCTTTAATGAAAATTTTATTCTAATGTTTCTTAAGTTGGTCTTACTCTTAAACAAAAATATAATTTTTGAGGATGCTCTATTATGTGGTATTTTTCAACATTTTATTAAAAATGATGTTGAATAGGAAGAAATACCTAATTATATTTAATGAATGAAATTGTTTTCTGCTTTCTATATGTTCTTTATTTAGTTTGGTGTTTGCTCACTTTTATATAAAAATTGCAATCTAAAAAACTACATAATTTACACAATTCAATTATCAAGTGTGTAAAAGAATTTCACTCAAAATTTGTACTATTTAGAAAAAATTTCAAACTATGTCTAGAAAGTAAACAAAACTCATTAATTATTTGCTACATGTGACTTATAGATTTATTTTTAACAAACTAATTTTAAGCTACTATTTGTGCGTAGTTTATTCACCACTGTACAATAAAAAATATGAAAACGACATAAGGTAATAGTTTTTCAGTCAGTGTTGTTAGATTATTTAAATAAATTGTTAATATTTTTTAATTACTGTTAGTTTATATCTTATATTTACTGAAAAATTTACTATAGTTTGCAGGGTGTGCAGCTTTAGGTGCTTATTTTTGATTTACGTTTTTTAAAAACTCTTAAAGGTGCCTTTTTTTATTCGGAGTTTGTAAAAAGTGCTTAATTTTCTATCTTTTAAAAATAAATTCTTTCTTCGCCGTGTCTATTGTCATTCTGAATTACAAAAAATACATGATTTTCATAATATTCTCTGCAATATTTATCGGAAACTAGATATTTTATCATGATTAAGTATAGTTTTTAAAAAAAATTTTGAGTTTTATTGATTTTATGTTTATAAATTAAAAACTTTAAACAATAGAAAGAAAAAAAATTTTAATACTGCACAAATCCTGATTAGGAATTTTTTTTTTTTTTTTTAATTGGTATTTTANATTTTTTTTTTTTTTTTTGAATTGGAAATAAAAATATTTTTCGAGTGCTTAAAATTATTATTCGAGTGCTTATTCAGTGTTGAAAAATTTGGGTACGCACCCTGGTTTTTTATCTTATAAAGAAATTAACAAACTTGTTCATGTATGCAATTGTCTTTCGAAGTGGTATTTTTACTTGAAACATTTATTTAAATAAGTGTAATTTAACATTTCTGGTAAACATATAACAAACCGTATAAATTTTCATAATTCCTAGGTTGCAGCAAAAATGATAAAGTAGAATGTAACTGAAATCCAAATTATTTAAAAAAAAGAGATAATAATAAAATCATTTCACTTAAAGATTACAATCAACTCTTAGCGGCTTTAAATGTGGATGTTATTTTCTTCTTTGAATTTAATTGCTTTCACCATTTTTTTAAAAATTTCTATTAATATAAAATGAATAAATCATTTCAAAAAAATTAAGTAATTTTTTCACCCCTTGAAATATTGTCCCTAATCTTATTTTACTGAATTAGGCCAATTTGATATCAATAAAGAAATTATATACATTTTGAATTGGCTTTTATTCATTTAAAAATTATATAATTGTACTTAGTCTTTTTTTTTAAACTTTATTTAGGAAGTTTGCACGCTTTATTTAGCTGTGAAGTATACAGGAGATCATATGTCAACTCTTAATTTTATTGGGTTGTTAGTGTGCCTTATTGGAATTACCCTTCACGTTGTTCTTAAAGCTCTTCATTCAGATGGTAAGTTTGTGCCGAATTCCAAGTGCTCTTAATTTCTTTTGTATTCTTCTCTTTGTCACATTCTTTTTGAGAAGAATTCTTCTTTCTCTGTATGAATAGACCATCCCATCATACCCATTATTTGAGAAGAAAAATGTAAGCAACATTATAAATGTGGTCTTTATTTAGTTTAATGACTTATATTTTGATGTATGTATTTAAAATTTGTTTGCATGTCAAAAAAAAAAAAGTAATGTTAGATAAAAAAAAAAATTATTTCAAAGTTTTAATTTTTATTTTAATAAAAATATAAGTGTTTCCTGGATTTATATTTTATTTTGTTTCATAATCTTAATATCTCTAGCACTTTATCATGAAGAATGACTTAAGTATTTTTTGGTAACATAGATAACATATAAGTATGTTTTTAAAATTGTAATTATCGTTATTCTACTTATTTTAAAAAAATGCTTAATCTTATGGCAATGTGACTATCATTAAAGTTTACATTTTTTATTATATTAATAATTTGAAAATAACTTGGTAGTTTCACTTTACTTTAGTTTTATCACACTTACACTGTTTTTTTTTAATTTTATTTTTTTTTATAAAAAATTTGAAGTTGAAGCAGACAATTTAAAAAATAGCTCCTAGTTAAAAGTCTTTGAAACTCTGTTTAAATTTTAGATTAAATCAACTTATTTAGTTCATTTATTTATTAATGCTTTTTATTATCTAAGCTTTTCTTCTCGAAGAGAAATACTGAAATCCAAAATTAACTTTTCATTTTTTAATGACACAGTATTTTATTTCTATTGTCCTATATCAGAACATCTACTTGTTCAGATATACTTTTTAGTGCAATTAAAGCTATAAGTAAAACAGAAAACATAGATAAAATCATACTCTTGATTGGGTGCCATAAGTAATCATAATTAGTGCCAGAGTACAGAATGAACTGATGATAAAAATGTATTGTATCATTCTGATTATTATTGGCTGTGGCACTGCAATTGTTGTATGCCTCTTAAACACTTTTATTGTTGCATATAACTTGTCTTTCTGTTTTACTTTTTCCCTCATAACTGTAGCCAATCTTATTTTATAGTTTATAAGCAGTACTTCCTGTTGTATTTTACTATGGCAACCCTGGGAAATATTAAATTTATTTTGATCACTAATAAAATGGGAATAAAAATGCTTGCATTGTCTAATGCATTCTGTGCAAGTCTCTTTAAATTTCTTCTCTCTGAATTTCACTAACCTTTTCTTAGGTAAAGAAAATTCTCCTATGGGGAACCTCATTGTCTCCTGTTATCTTAAATTATCTTCAATATTTCTTTCCTTCTGGACTTTAAGGTATTCTTCTCTATCTTTTCTTTTTTTCTTATGCCAGGGTTGCCAGCTTTTTTTCTTGTTACTCTCTATGTATATGAAGGGATTGAGATAGGCAAATTTTCATACTATGAAGAAAAAAATGTTTACAAAATAGTGTATGATTTGTTTGTTTTTTAAATTTACATCATCGCTTATTTTAATATTTCATATTGTATTTAAAAATAAATCAATAAATGTAAACATTATTATTAATCACTAATAATTACTTCAGGAATCAAGGATTATTAAAATGAAAAAAAAAAGCAGGGTGTGCTGGAAAAAAAGTTGGCATTTCTGTATTAAGCATCACTATCACTGTTTTTTAAAGTTTATTGAATTTAACCAGTGTTTTCATCATAGAAAAAAAAAATGGGTGAGCATTTCTCACACTTTCTCAAAAACAGAGTGAGATTTCAAAAGTTAAGTGAGATTTCAAAAAATTAAAAAAAAAAAAACACGAATAGACTTCATTTTTTTAATTATAATACATTTTTAACATTTTCTATTTTTTAAAACACTGAATATTTTTGCTGCATTTTTCTTTTACAAGGTATTTATCCATCTTACATTAGTGCATAAAAAATTTGAACTTCTTACATGAAGAACCTTACCTATGGTAAATTGTGGTTGCAGGGAAATGCGTTCCGGAAGGGGTTCCATGGTTCGAAGGGGTAGTGTTCTATTGTTCGAAAAGGTTTTGAACAAATACGGAAGCTAGATAATGGGGCAAATGTTGCAAATAATGAAAGATCCAGGAAGAAAAGTGAAACCGATTTTATTCTAAATAGTGTAATGCGAAACTTTTTCCAATAAGTGAGAAATTAGCGAATTTTTAAATTGATTTATAGAATTCGCAAATTTCTCACGGTAATTATTTTTTAATGCAAGAAAAGAAAAAAATATGCAAGATTCTCGCATTCTCGCTCTGTAGTGAAAATACTGTTAACATTTGTATAGATTGTATATTATTAAGGTTTATTCAATTGTAAAAGTGTTTTTTGTTTTAACCATCTAGTAATAGTATTTAATATCTATCAATATTATGATTCATTTTGTGCCATGGTAGCCCAACGGTTAGAAAGTCGAATTGGACTGAAATCTAATCCTCGACTCTGCTAAGCCCTTGCCAAGTAAATGCAATCTGCATGCTCGTTAAATCTGTGGAATCAATCAGTCGCTGAGCAGTACTATGGGTATAGGAATTTAGAGAAAATTTCATTCCCTTTCAGATCTGTTTGTTTAAATTGAGAAAGTGGCCTGATGAATGAATGGTGTGGCTATCTATTTGTGGGGTTCTGAGATAAGATGTGCTTGCACCCTTGCAGTGCTCTCTTGTGAAACAAAAGGCGCACCTCCCTGACTTAATTTGAAAAATTCCAATGACTGGCTAGATTGACTTGTCCAAGTGTCATTAGAAACTTGATACACTTATTCTTCATTGTGCATGAGTTTTGAAAATATTGGAATATTTGAAATCATTTTAAAAATCTAAAAGCAAATAATTTTTTACCTCATATAAACTGCTATAGTATCTATCTATAAAACTGTTTCCTTTTAAAAACTTTAATTTGTGCAGTTACTGATAATATTCTAAACAAATGTCAGCAATAGATAAATTATATTACTGAGTGAAAGGTTTTTTTTTTTTTAAAGCAATTTAGTGCTTTGATACATGTCCAGAAAAGTAATGAATGAGTAATTTTTTTCTATTATTTTAACAAAAAAATAAATTAAAATAATTACATACTCTAAAATTATTTATAAATCCTTAAAATAATTTTAAAGTATTTGAATATTTTCTAACGTTCTTATGAAATGTATCTCTAACAAAACCCCATTTTCTTACTCGTGAAACACAGGATTGTCCAAAAAATGTAATGTATGCAATGCCGATAGTTTATCCCAGAAATATATCCCTTAAAGTAATCTGATGTCTTAAAATTTGATGAAAAAGTTACTATAGATTTGATTTTATTTAAATAGAAAAGTATATTGCACCAGTGAATATTTAATCGATATAAGCTAAATATCAATAGAATATCTAATTAGCTGCTGTTAGGACTATTATTCTCACCATTTAAGAAGTGACCTCCCTGCATGTACGAGTTTAAAATATACATGAACAATAAAGTATTAAGCTAACTTAACTAGGATGTTTTTAAATTTATGAAGTTTGATTTTATTTTACATTTTATAACTGGCATTGGACAACCAATCTAATTCTGAGTTTACGACACTCAATGTTCAACTACATATCTTTAAAATTTTAAATCCAACTCCGGAAACTCCTATATCAAGGATTGGAACAAATTATCCTTAATGGGGTGACGGTGTATTTTTGATGAAACTAACCCACATTTGAGTTACTTTGAGTAGAAAAACACAAAAACCTTATACGATTATCAAGACTGGAAAGAAATTCTAACCCATTATGCGTCTATCTGTGACGATATTTTACGTCAGCATATTGGTAGGTGCAGAATGCGTATTAACCAAACAAAGTTAGGATTATTACATGGGTCACCTCATTAGAAGGCTAACACTACATTCCCAGAGCCAACGCCACTCAATTAAGCCAAATTAGCTTAAATAATAGTACAGAGATTTTTAAGCTTCTCCTAAATCACTTGTTCCACTTCTCTGTTAATTTTACTTTTTAGGCGATAGATTATTATTTTTAATTATTGAATTATTTTTCTTATTATTGCCTAAATAAATCAAGGATTATTGTCAGCAATAATAGTATGAAAAAAATTTACTTTTCTATTAAACGACATAGTACTATTTTTCCTTTAATTTTGCTTTACGGTAGTTAAACTATTTATTTTTAATTCAAATACAGATGATTTAAATTTATTTAGTTTTATCATCTCATTTATGAAGGCGTACTTTATAAATAAATAAAATTTATAAATATTAATTCACTGACGTTGTTCATTTAAGTCTCCATTTTCAACTTCAGCATTAAGTTTATAAGAGATAACGAATAAAAAATAATGAAAAGCTGGTTAGATTAAACCAACGAGAAAAACATTTCATTAATTATCTGCAACTTTAAGATTATTAGTGAAGTTTTCTGAGAAACAAAACTTCTTTCATGAAATTAAAAACTTCATATTTTTCATTATTAAGCTATAAGCTAACAAACATCATTTATGTTATTATTGAAGTGGGCGTTATTGCCAAGGTAGGCGTGTTCACATCCCGTCGGGGTCACCAATCGACAAACTTCGAGTATCGACAATGTCAACTATCATCTATGAAAAGGCATAAAGTCGAGTTAACATGTCTTATATACTAGCGAATTGTAGTTGTAATTTTGTAGTGGTANGCTATTACTCCAGAATTAAAATAAAATAAGTATTTTATGATATAATTTTGTACTACAATTTCTTTTCAGAAACTAAAATTCAGGTTAACTAAAGTTATTATGTTTAGATGCTTTTCTGTTAAATATATTTGTTGCCATTTGAAAAAACAGTAGAAAATACAGTACAATTGTTTTGTTATTATTATATGCGTAATAAATTTTTAAATTCCACTACTTTTGCTCACATTTTTATTATTATTATTTTATACTGTCCTTGTAATGAATGTTACTTTTCACTCTGTATAAAATTTAAAAATACTTCACAATAGTTCGATTTTTGGGGGGGGAGGGGGTTCATGAAATAGTAATTTTTTAACATTTTTTTACAGTTTCTGATAAGTTTTTTAAAGACGTAATTTTTTTTTAAAAATATTTTATTGAATTCATTTTATCTAGTTATGTTTAAACATAGTATTGCTTATTATAGGATCATAAAAATAGCATTAAGCTAATATTCACACATTAGTTTAGTGCTTAAAATTACCTGAAAGATTTGGTAACAAAAATAATTTATTGTATTAATATCAATAATTAACAATGCTCTCTTGTCTGCACATAATGACATTAATAAAACTTACATGTATATGAATCTTCTAAAATTTTACCACACTTGTAAGACCAACTCTTTTTTTTTAAATTCTTTAACAATATTTTTGTTTCAAAATGTGCTGGAGGATTTTTTTTTTTTAAATTTAAGATATTAAGTGCACAACACATAAAATTTATTACCAATAAATATGCAGTGTTATGCTTTGATTCTTGGAAAAACAGAGGGCTTTGTTCACCGACCTCTGTAAATTAAAATGAATCATCTTTTTCCATTGATGATTTTTAAACTATTTTGTTCCAAATATTTTACATCAATTTTTTTATTGCATGTTAAAAACTGTATAAAAATTTTGTTTATTAATGAGAATGTTGCTTTCAGGGTTAAGTAATCCAGTTGATATGATTTATCATGTACAACCCTGGATGGTTATTGGCCTTTTGCCCTTAGCTATAGTATTTGAAGGTAATTAAGTCTTTTTTAAAATATTTAGTATGTGTCGTAGGCTAATTGAATAATCCAGCTCTTTAAAAACAGCAATTGTTATTTTGTAATGTGCTTGTCAGGTTGTATCATGGGTTAGAATCCTTTTGCCTTCGGACTACCCGTGGGAGGTTTTTATAATTTTTCTTCTCCTCTCCCATCTTATGGATATGAGTTAATTCCTTCAAAAGTTAGTTTGCCCCATGCTTGATCCTTGAATTCCCTTGATTTCTGAATTGGGATCAAAATTACAAGACCTCGAAGTTCAACATTGATAGTCATAAACTCAGAATTGGTTCAGCTGTTCAACGCCTGTTATAAAATATTAAATGAAATCAGCCAATAAATTATTAAATAAAAATTTTTTTGGTATATATTATTTAATAACACGTTAAGATGTTTTTTTTATTTTTTTTATTCCTAATGGCAAGATAAAAAAGCGACTGCAACAAAAAATACAAAGAACCATATAGGGAAAAACAAAGAGAAAAAAAAAAAGAACCAGAGAAACAGCACTAACACCCGTATTCACCATGCCGAGTTAAATTCAAGAGTAACTCGGGGATCGGAATATCCACAGTTCAGAGTTACTCTCGGATTAACCCTCGCTTTTTATTCTCCAACCGTTTTCAACAGAGGATTTCACAACTCGAGTTTAACACTTGCAGGAAATATAACGAGGCCTTTGATTGGGCAAGGTAAAACCATGTGACTTTGTATATAATATAAACACGTGCATCGTGAATAAACAAATTAGCGTGAGTATCGCTAATTTAAGTGGAAAGGTTTTAAGAAAAGATATCTTTCAAAAGAGTCTATTTCATCTAACTCTTCTAGGTCATTATTTATGATAGTTGGGACATATCTTTCCCTTCTTCCAACTGTTTCAAGAAATTCAAGATCTTCAAGCTCAAATGCAGGGATAGAATCCTCCATCTTTTTTGTTTACAAGCTCCTCGTCAATAGGTTACCCTCCGATAACTCGGCAAAAACGGAGGATTACCCGGAGTGTCAGAACTGTCGATGAAATCTGCGAGTTTGGCGAAATTTCGGCTGGAGAATAACGTTTTGCACTAAACTCGTGATTTTACTCTTACCCATAGATTACCCGGAGGTAATCCGTGTTGGTGAATACGAACGTAAGGAAAGAAGAGCTAATAAAAATGTTTGAAACTATAAATATCTTAACCGCAAAAATGTGTTACCGGAATGCAAACACAAAGAGATGTGTATTGAAGGATATTGGGATTGTATTAAAAGTAAATTATTTTGTAGTAGTAATCAGAATTTCAGTGCAATTGCATTTAAGCTTTTAATAGATAAATAAATGGTCTGGTTGTTTATTACATTTATTTATTTGATTAGTTACAAAGCACATTATTTTAATTGTAAATTTTTCAATTTAATTTTAAAACTAAACTGCTTAATTGTTTTAAATAAAGCTATTTGGTTTGCTTATTAGGTATTCCTATTGCAACTACTGAAAAAGTATTTCGCTATAAAGAAGTCAGCATGGTTATGACAACAGTAGGTTATATACTTCTTGGGTCATTTCTTGCATTTCTTATGGAGCTTAGTGAATATTTACTGCTCTTGTTTACTTCAAGTCTTACTCTGTCCATAGCTGGTGTTTTTAAGGTAAAAGTGCTTATTAATTATAATAAATAAATTATAAAATATATGTCATTAAATATGAAATGTGGACTTTTATGTGAGTTTAATTTTATATATATTTCATTATAGCTTAGAATAAAGCATATTTTTAAAATTATCCTGTTTACCTAATATAAACATATTACATATGGACAATGTGATCTGGATTTTAAAATATTGAGATTTTAAATCTTAAATTTTGAATTTCTTGCAGTGTTATTTTTTTTTAATGAAAATTTATTCTAATATTTAAGTTGGACTTACTCTTGAACGAAGAGATCATTTTTAAAGTCGCTCTATTATGTAGTATGTTTCTACATTTTATTCAAAATAATGTTGAATAGGAAAATGTACATTATTATATTTAATGAATGAAATTGTTTTCTGCTTTCTATATATTCTCAGGGGTCTGTCCAGGCCGAATTTACTACCGTTTAGCGGTACCTTCACAAATTCAACTTTAGGAAAAACAGTAGTTTCACAAATTCAATTTTAGGAGAAACGGTAGTTTCACAAAATACTTTTTCTTAAAATTTCATTTTTGTATCCCTTAAGAAACGATAAATCCATATTTTTGTGTTGATTTTTTAATATAATTTTTAATTTTTCACAAATTACGTCTAAATTTTCACAAAATAGGTACCTGTCAGAAAAACCTAGACAGACCCCTGATTCTTTATTTAGTTGGCCATTGCTCACTTTTATATGAAAATTACAAACTAGAATACTACGTAATTTACACAATTCAATTATCAAGTGCGTAAAAGAATTTCACTTAAAATTTGTTAATTTTAGAAAAATTCGAAACTATATCTAAAAAATTAAGCAAAGCTCAATTAAATATTTCTATATGTGACTTGAAGATTTATTTTTAACAAGCTAATTTTTTGCTACTATTTGTGCGTAGTTTATATAATGTACAATACAAAAATATGAAAACTACGTAATGTAATTGTTTGTTAATCAGTTTTGTTAGATTATATGAACAAATTATTAATATTTGATAATTACTGTTAGTTTTTTTATCCTATGTTTACTGTTTCTTATATTTACTGAAAAATTTATTGTAGTTTTTTATCTTATATTTACTGGGAAATTTGTCATTAGTTTTTTATCTTATAAATAAATGGACAAACATATTCATTTGTGCAATTATCTTTCGAAGTGGAATTTTACTTGAAACATTTATTTAAATAAGTGTAATTTAACATTTCCTGTGAGTATATAATAAACCGTATAAATTTTCATAATTTTGTGTTCCCAGGTTGCAACAAAAATGGTAAAACAAAATGTAACTGAGATCCATATTATTTTTAAAAAAAGAAAGAATAATAAAATCATTTCACTTATACGTTAAATTACAATCAACACTCAGCAGCTTTAAATGTGAACATTATTTCCTTTGTGAATTTTAATTGCTTTCCCTGTGGCAGATTTTTTTCAATCTTTCTGTGACATACCTCTCTATACTACTAATATTTTTCTGTAAGATATTTTTAGAAATAACAAATATGCATGTTAAATGCATAATATGCATGTTAAATGCATAATATGCATGTCAACTTCAAAAAAAAAATTTTTTAAATTAAATATGTAAAAAAAATTTTATTCTATATTGAGGATGATATTCTCACATTTTGCAGGGGGAAGACACACTAATTATTTCCTTTTTTGCATATTTTAAATTACACATTTAAAAAAATTATTAAAAAAATCTTGAAATCCGTAGCAGTAACTACCGGGGGGGAGGAAAATATCGAGTGTGAAATCACGCGAATCAGACTCTTCAAAAGAGGGTTACTAAATGCTTGTTTTCATTTCCAGATTCAGTTGTTGTTATACGTAATATCATATTAAAACTATCGGGATTTTAAAAACTATGTGGAAATCAATCGTAATAATTGCATAAAAAAATTAGAACCAAAATTTCTGCAGAAAAGAAAATTACAAATTTTTATTTTATTACTCTTTACACTATTCTCAAATGAGAATAGAAAAATTACAAGCATTTTTTTTCCACTCCGATGCACTAAAAAAGCATCTTTTGTATGTAATTTTGAAGAGAGGATAAAATCTTTCAAAAATTTCTGCAGGGAAAAAAAATCTAAATTTTTTACTTCCTAACAAAAAGTCTTTCTACAAGAACTCTGTGACAATGTCGCCACGATTCTGCTACAAGGATTGCTTTCACCATTTTTTTAAATGTCTATTAATATAAAATGAATAAATCATTTAAAAAAATATTAAGTAATTTTTTCACACCATAAAATTGTCCCTAATCTTGTTTTACTGAAATTCAATGTTGATTCAATGTCAATAAAGAAATTATATACATTTTAAATTGGTTTTTATTCATTTAAAAATTATATAATTGTACTCATAGTTTATTTTTTTTTTAAATTTTATGTATTAATTTTATTTAGGAAGTTTGCACGCTTTATTTAGCTGTGAAGTATACAGGAGATCATATGTCAACTCTTAATTTTATTGGGTTGTTAGTGTGCCTTATTGGAATTACCCTTCACGTTGTTCTTAAAGCTCTTCATTCAGATGGTAAGTTTGTGCCGAATTCCAAGTGTTCCTTTTGTATTCTTCTCTGTGTCATGTTCTTTTTTAGAAGGTTTCTTTTTTCTCTGTATGAATAGACTTCGCAAGCTATCATACCCATTATTTGAGAAGAAAAAGTTTAAGCTACATTATAAATGTGGTCTTTAATGAATTATATTTTGATGTATGTATTTATGAAACTTGTTTGCATGTTAAAAGAAAAAGTAATGCTGGATTTAAAAAAATATTTCTACGTTTTAATTCTTATTTTAATAAAAATATAAGTGTTTCCCTGATTTAAATTTTATTTTGTTTCATATTAATATCTGTAGCTCTTTTTCATGGAAAATGATCAAAATATTTTTGGTAACATAGATAACATATAAGTATGTTTTTGAAATTGTAATTATCGTTATTCTACTTATTTTAAAAAATTGCTTAATCTTATCGCAATGTGACTATCATTAAAGTTTACATTTTTTTATTATAGTAATAATTTGAAAATAACTTACAATATCAGTTTACTTTAGTTTTATCACACTTACAATGTTTTTTTTTTTTTTTTTTAAAGAATTTGAAGTTAAAGTAGACAATTTAAAAAAGCCTCATTTTTTGGAATTCTGTTTAAATTTTAGATTAAATCAACTAATTTAGTTCATTTATTTATTAATGCTTTTTTTCATTTATTTATTAATGCTTTTCTTAAATCAAAACTTCTCTTCTCAAAGAAAAATAGTGAAATCCAAAATTAACTTTTAATTTTTTAATGACACAGTATTTTATTTCTAGGGCCCTATATCAGAACATCAACTTGTTCAGATATACTTTTTAGTAAAACAGACTATAAGTAAAACAGAAAACAAACATAGATAAAATCATACTCTTGATTGGGTGTCGTAAGTAATCATAATTAGTGCCAGAGCACAGAATGAACTGATGATAAAAATTTATTGGCTGTGGCACTACAATTGTTGTATGCCTCTTAAACACTTTTATTGTTGCTTATAACTGTCTTTCTGTTTTACTTTTTCTCTCATAACAGTAGCCAATCTTATTTTATAGTTTATAAGCAATACTTCCTGTTGTATTTTACTATGGCAACCCTGGGAAATATTAAATTTATTTTGATCACTAATAAAATGGGAATAAAAATGCTTGCATTGTCTAATGCATTCTGTGCAAGTCTCTTTAAATTTCTTCTCTCTGAATTTCACTAACCTCTTCTTAGGTAAAGAAAATTCTCCTATGGGGAACCTCATTGTCTCCTGTTATCTTAAATTATCTTCAATATTTCTTTCCTTCTGGACTTTAAGGTATTCTTCTCTATCTTTTCTTTTTTTCTTATGCCAGGGTTGCCAGCTTTTTTTCTTGTTACTCTCTATGTATATGAAGGGATTGAGATAGGCAAATTTTCATACAATGTGAAGAGAAAAAAAATTTAAGATAGAAAATAATTTTTTTTTAATTTGCGTCAACCCTAATTTTAATATTTCATATTGTATTTAAAAATAAATCAATAAATGTAAGCATTATTATTAATCACTAATAATTACTTCTGGAATCATGGATTTTTAAAATGAAAAAAAAAAAGCTGGGTGTGCTGGAAAAAAAGTTGGCATTTCTGTATTAAGCATCACTATCACTGTTTTTTAAAATTTATTGAACATTTGTATAGATTGTATATTATTAACGTTTATTCAATTGTAAGAGTGTTTTTTTTAAACTTTAATTTCATCTAGTAATAATATTTAATATCTATAGATATTATGATTCATTTATGTGCCATGGTAGCCCAACGGTTAGAGAATCGAATTCGACTGAAATCCAATCCTCGACTCCGTTAAGCTCTTGCCAAGTGAATGCAATCTGCATGCTCGTTAAATCTGTGGAATCAATCAGCCGCTGAGCAGTACTATGGGTACAGGAATTTAGAGAAAATTTCATTCCCTTTCAGATCTGTATGTCTAAATTGAGGAAGTGGCCTGATGATTTAATGGTACTGTTATCTATTTGTGGGATTCTGAGATAAGACGTACTTGCACCCTTGCAGCGCTCTCTTGTGAAACTAGAGGCACGCCTTCCTGACTTAATTTTCAAAAGGCCAATGACTGGCTAGATTGGCTTGTCCAAGTGTCATTAGAAACTTAATACATTTATTCTATATTGGGCATGAGTTTTCAAAGTATTGGAATATTTGAAATCATTTTAAAAGTCTAAAAGCAAATAATTTTTTACCTCATATAAACTGCTATGATATCTATCTATAAAGCTGTTTCCTTTAAAAAAGTTTAATTTGTGCCGATACTGATAATATTCTAAGCAAATGTCAGCAATAGATAAATTATATTACTGAGAGAAAGATTTTTTTTTTAAAGCAATTTAGTGCTTTTAGAAAAGTAACATTGCAGAACTGTGCTATTATTTTAACAAAAATAAATTAAAATAATTACATATTTTTAAATTATTTATATATCCTTAAAATAATTTTAAAGTATTTAAATATTTTCTAATGTTCTTATGAAATGTGTCTGTAACAAAACCCCATTTTCTTACTCATGAAACACAAGATTGTCCAAAAAATTTAATGTATGCAATGCTGATAGTTTTTCCCAGAAGTACGAGGCGCATCCAGAAAGTAAGTTTCCCGATGTTTACCCCTTTAAAGTAGGCGTAATTAGCCTGGTCAATTGTGCATGAGTAGCAGATCTATGACGTATCAATCATTTGCCAGCCAAAGAGGTCCCGCCTCGTACCAGTAGCGTGGTAGCAGTGGTCTGAAATGGAAGCTCTTATTCCTTCTCCCACCACCTGCAAGGTTTGGTCCGTGATAAAGTTCTTGAATGCACAAAGCATTGCGCTAATTGAAATTCATCACTGGGAGTTGTTTGATTATCCACCATACAGCCCTGATCTTGCTCCCAGCGATTTTCACGTTTTCTTGCCTCTCAAGAAATTCCTGTCCTCCGGTGAGCGTTTGACAACGACGAAGAGCTGAAGAGGTCTGTCACACATTGGTTCCATTCACAAACGGCAGAGTTTTATGACAGAGGGTTACAAAAGTTGATCCCACGATAGGACAAGTGTCTCAATTCTGGTGGTGGCTATTGCTGAAACATTGCTGTACTTGTTGCCAATAAATATGTTCCTGAAAGTGTGAGTTTTTTTTTAAATAGGGAAACTTACTTCCTGGATGCTCCTCGTATATATATACCTTAAAGTAATCCGATGTCTTAAAATTTTATGAAAAAGTTATTATAGATTTGATTTTATTTAAATGGAAAAGTATATTGCACCAGTGAATATTTAATCTATATAAGCTAAATATCAATAGAATACCTAATTAGCTGCTGTTAGGACTATTATTCTCACCTTTTAAGAAGTGACCTCCCTGTATGAACGAGTTTAAAATATGCATGAACAATAAAGTACTAAGCTAAAATAACTAAGATGCTTTTAAGTTATTGAGATTTTATTTTATTTTAAATTTTATAACTGGCATTGAACATTCGACCCAATTTTGAGTTTACAACTATCAATTTTCAACTCCATAGCCTTTTAATTTTGAACCCAACCCAGAAGACAGAGGAACTCTTGACTCAAGTATTAGGACAAGTCAGTCTTTGTTGAGGGCTTAATAATGGAACTAACATACATTTGCATTTCATAGATAGGAAAACAACAAAAACCTATTCTAATCCCAGATTCGTCTAAGATTTTTGCACCACTGAGGATATTTTCTGTCAGTACTGCGGTGCATGTAAGCCGAGAGTGGGATTCGTATGAAACAGGCACCCCTGGGATTTGAACCTGGGTAACCTTAATAGGTGGCAAATGCTCTATCCCCTAAGCCACCGCAACTTCATCAAAGTTTTATTGTAATAAATTTTGAAAATTTTACTTTTCACAACGTTTCTTCTAGCATTTGTTTTCTTTATTGTAATATTTTATTATGTATATACTTAGTCTTTCATATCTATTGTTTACTGTAAATGAATTGTGAAAATTTCAATTTTTACACTTTATTAACATTTTTTCAAGTATTTATATCATAAGTTTTTATTGTTTGTACTAACTTTCGTTTATCTATAAATCTAGATCTAATAAAAGACAGAGTAATTCAGGGAGAGCAACATGAGCTTCAAGGTCTTCAGCAGTTACTAGCAAATAATGGAACAATTTACGATGATGATGAGGAGGATATACTATTTGAGACAAATTCTGTTTCACATCGATGATTATTTGAAATGCTCAGTGGGGGAAAAAAACTTGCCTCATATTTTTACTAAGCAATTATGCTCAATTACTATTCCTTTATCAGAAACCTGATGTTAAGAATCTCTTCAAAATGTTTCTTAGGAAATAAATTTTATCAGTACAATTTCTTATTATCTTTGATACAATAATTGTTTTTAGTATTTATACTTTACATCAGCTTAACTTGGTAGTGTTGCAGAAGCTATACTGTAATGCTGCTCTAAATAACTATTTATCTTTATGTTTAGATTTTCTTTCTTTAGATTTCAGAGGCATTTTAAGAAAAAATTTCAAATCATGAGCTTCGTATATTAATTAGCTATATAACAAGGCTGATTTTTCAACAATATTTTGTTTAAATTGAGTCTTATTCATCACAACCATTGATGAGTTTCAAAAGTTGTTTAAGTTTCAACAACCCTGAAGGTAGATCGGAGAGAAAGAAATGAAATTTGAACTGACAATATTCTGGTGATGAAATTTGTTTAAGGTTAAAACATTATCATAATTAATTTTGTTTTTCTTTTTAAAACAAAAAGATTTTTGCGCTATCCAATAACATATTGAAGAAAAATTTTGTCTAATTATTGAAATTTCTACTATAGGTAAAAAATAATTTCATTATTTATATTTGATCAAAATTAAGAAATTAACATTTATTATGCTGTTTAAATATCAAAATATGGTAGCTATGTTTATATCTGTACTTCTTATACACTATTGTGGATCATTTTAAGTTAGGGGCATTGTAAAGGGATGTGGGTGCGTAAGTCAAACTCCTTGCTTAGTTGCCCTTAAAAAGAGGCAAATAAAATTACATTGGGGTGATAAAAACCTATTTAATTGAAAGATATTTCTTGATAAAAATCCTAATCTAAATTTTAAATTTAATTTTCCTATAAATTCATTCCAAAATAATGATGTGGTAAATAATTATTTGCAGTTAATAATTATTTGCAGTAATAATTATAATTGTGGTAAATAATTATTTGCAGATCTCTCTCTTCAATATTTTAATTCAAAGAAACTTCCTTTTTGCATTTGTTTTAAGATCATATTGTACTCATCACAAAATATTTTCCCTCAGCCAAATATTTATCTGTTAAAAAGCTTAATGTCATATAAAAAAATAACAATGGATTAAAACATTTAGTGAATAAATCATGTCATTAAAATTACGAGTATCCTGTTTAGCTTACCATTTTAGATAACTTTTTATTTTGAAAATTTTTTGCCCTGTTGAGGTAAACATGCCTCCTCTTCATAATTATTAGAAATTAAAATGAATTTAAAAAATCTTGACTTATATTGATAATTTTAAATTTATGCATAATTTTAAGTCTGAAATTTTTATTAATATATTTTACATCTTTGCTGTTTGAAGAAATTAAGTCAAAATCAAATTTTACTTTAATTGTTGATTAGATGAGATTTTTAGGGCTTTTGTCCCCTTACCTTTTTTCCTGCATACTACTGTTTTAACAAATGAAAACAAGGTATTTCAACAGGCGATGCCTATGAACAACCCATTTACACTCTGCTAAGTTAATCTAATGTAAAGTATATTTTTATTTTTCCATTTCTGGAGTAAGCCAAATTTTTTAAAATGCAATTTTAAATTAAATGTAGTGGCAAAAATGTTCTTTTTTTCTTACTGTTCCATACTATAATGTAAAAGTGGATTTATTAAAAATGAATTTTTTCTAGTTTTTATAATTTTTAAACCTTTTAGCGAATAACATGCTATTTCTAAACCTATTGTGAGTTTCTAACAGTTACTCAACACTGTCAGGTTAAGCTTTGCTTGTGTCCAGTGCTCTCTTTAATAGAAATGTGAAAACCAACCACAGTTTTGTGAAATTAAAAACCGTTTCTGATCTAATTTTGTAAAATTTAATAAAACAAATTGGGAATTATTAATAAACTTTAATGATGTTTGTCTTTTTTAATTCTTGAAAAATGGGTAATCTTTCATTATGGAAAATATTTTATTATGAAAAATGGGTGATAAATTATTAATAATTTTGTTAGTAACTAATCTATTTTTCCTGTATAATTCCTGATAGCTCTTTTCAGCAAAATGATGAATTTAGTTTATACTTTTAGTTTTTCTTCTTGTTAATACTCCTCTGAAAACTGTGGATTTTTATTTTTCTTGCCAAAGGAGCTTCGAAAAGCCCCTTTAATTAAATAATTTTTACAAAATATCATAATTATATAGATATATTTTATTTAAAAGCATATATTGTTAGCTTTTTTGTGACAGTGAATGTTATTATTTCTTTAAAAAAATGAATAATGTAGCAAAAATTACTCAATCTTTCTTTTTTTTTTACTTCCCATTATATGTTTTAGTTGTTATATGACTTTGAAATATTTATACTTTATTCAAATATTAAATTTTTATTAATCATTATTTGATTGCAAAATATTCCTTTGAATTTGTTCCAACAATTTAATTTTCCCTACAAATCTATAACTCTTTTCATGTTATTTTTGCATTTAATACACTTTTAGTTTACCAATTTAATGTTTTACAATTGAAGCTCCTTTTAAGAATCAGAGCAAATGGAGCTTGCTCTGATTTGTTCCAATTCTCGAATTTAATTCATTCTTATGCGACTGACTTATCAAACAAACATGTTCACAGTTTTGGCATGATGCCATCTATCTTAATTTGCTAGTTTTGTTTTCAATGTTTGAAATTATACCATCTGAAAAATATATTACAGTATAGATTAAAAACTATAAATTAACTAATAATAGGTTTATAACTTTCATAAACTAAGGGAACATTCCCTCAATGTCTGGTATCACTAGTCTGCCCATATCATGTCAATCAGATTTTCCATTTCCCCATATGTATAAGTTTTCATGTGAATATTAAAGGTATGGGTACTAAGACATTTCATTTAACATTAAATTGTTTAAATAAAAAAAGTAAGGAATGAAAGTCTTTTTTTCTTTCCTTTGCTTTAAACTCTTTTGTCTTCTAGCCATTTATGAACCCTAAATGATTTTAACAAGTCAAAGCGTATTCCACTGGCTACCCAAAAAATTTTTGATACTTCTTTTTATTAAGAAGCCCTATAACATTCTCAATTTCTTTCAATGTATTAAGATTTAAGGTAAAGATTTCTGTTTTAAAATCTAACATCATATATTTGTTTTTATTTATGTTTCATGCTGTGAAAACACATTTAAATGCTGTTTGCATTTTGTCTTTTTCTATAATTGTATGTTTTGGTGGTAACTAAACTAGGTTAAAATTATATATTCTTGGGTTTAAAATGATTTTCGTAAGTGTTTGGAATTGCATGTCACAAAATAGTACTCTTCATCTTGTGTGTTCAGATTAAATCTGATAAAAACATCCTCTTAAAAGTAATTATTTTTTTTAAATATATAGTGCATAAAATAAAAATCTAGTCATCTTAATAATTTTTGGTTTTGTGATTATAATGTCAAGTACTTAGATCCAATCTTAATTATTCAAGTGGTTAACTCTAATTTTCCTTGTGCAGATGATATTTAAAGATATGAAATCAGACACAAAAATATAGTTTCCCTGAATAAGCATACCTTTCTGTGTGTTGGTTTTTCTAGATCCTTAAAATGTGTGGGGGGGGGGTAGTTTCAACTGTGGACCCATTGCAAAATATGGTACCTATAGTAAAGGCAAAAGTCTAAAAACATGTAAGATAATTTAAAAATTTTTGAAACTTGAGTGAACAATTTTGAAACTTGTTTATTCAAAGATAACCTGTTGTAAAAGAAAATAAAACTTTAATATTGGTTGTTATTAATTTATTTTAATAATGTTCAAAAAAGTATTAAAAACTATGCAATTTTATCTTAAATTTTAACAGAATTGGTTGAATTGCTTTTGAAGAAAGAAAATTTTAAAATAACTTTTTTTTAAATTTCATAACTCGTAAATTTTGTATACCTTACAATTTAAAGTAAGTGACTGAGTTTGGCAGATATTGTTTTGTAAATAGTCTAAATTAAAATTCTAATTTTATTTTTGGTATATAAGGGTCCTTACATTATAAATCTAAAAAAGAAAATTTTTTAAATGTTTTTTCAGAATAAGGGCAAATTTGAGCATAAAAATAATTTTTTATACCATGCAAACAAATTGTTATGCCTAAGTATCAAATTTTTTTTTCATAGATCAATAATATATTACCTTAAAAATAATTCATTCAGTATTAGAACTTAGCTTTTAGTTCATAACATAGCTAACATTCAAAATTTATTTACAAAGTTTCAAAGAATTGTATGTTAAACTTTTTTTGTAATATATGTTATCTTAAAGAGATTTTCTCAAAATTAACGTTTTTCAGAAAATTTAATTTGCTATTTGCATATTTCGAGGTAAAATCCATTTGGAGATTGAAATCCATAAATAAGAAAGGTATGTTTATCCACACAAAAAAATGTGTTCTTGTGATGATAATTAAAAATATACTCTGATTTCTCAACTTAAAGTAATATCTGCACTAATTGATTAGCCTCACAAACTATTAAGATTGTCTTTTAGTAAGTGAAAATTTAATTATTAGATTAAAAGTTAATGAAGTACTCCTTTTTTTTTATTTTCTTCACTGTATGTATTTATAAATTGATTACTGAAGAGTACACTTTATTCCTTTTGTTTATACTGTGTTATTTTTATGTTCCATGCATAAAAGCTCTATATCTTGGACAAACTTTTAACTTAGTTGTTGATCTATACAAAATTACTGTTTGAACTATAAATTTTTAAATACTAAAAGAAAAATATTTTACTATATCTCTTTCTGAACCTTTTTAATCTAAATATAATAGTTTCTTGAATTTAGTTTTATCTATTTACTTATTTTTTGAATATGAATATAAATGAAAGGCATATTATTAATTTTCTATTAAATAATTAGCAGCTTATGCATTTTAACACAAGATTTAATTTTTCTATCCATTATTATTAAACATTAAGAGG